TTTCATAAGGATTACATAAAAACATTATGTTTCTATACAAATTATTTTATTAAAAATTTATTAATATATTCAGACAATAAGCTTATTGTGTAATAAATACCAAAATCTTAAGATTATAAGTAATGTCATATAGTTTATTTTTAAATAAATATGTGCAATATTTGATTATTTGGTAGTTTTATATTAATTTAAATCAGTAAATATTAATTTATTATTAAATACAGAAAAATATTCTTATTCTACGTTAAATTCCACATTTATTTCATATATCTTTTGTTGGTTTTTTAAAAAATTCCCGATAAAAGTGGTCTTTGCGGCCGAACCCGAGGTCACAGGACAATATAAGTTACATATTCGGACTCGGGGTTAAATGTTCTATAAAAATCTATCATAATATCCCGGTTGCCAGCTTAGGCCGAATCCGACCGTATCCTTTATTTAACATTTAATTTTTATTTCAAATGCTATTATAACAGTTATTAGCAATAGCTTATTGCAATGTCACTGACTAATATTATTAATCATAACTACCTTGTCTAATATGATAATGTTATCATGGTCGTATGATGAATACGATTTAGGTATTACTTACACTTATAATAATTTAGCATTAGCCAAAATAAATCATGTATAATATTATTATAAATAATGTATTAATAAACTAAAATATTTTTAATAAAACTGGTGATGATTTTAAAAAATAATTTTTAAAATAAAGTTTAATATTTTATTTGATATCATTAACTGTATGTGCTGTATGGCCTACTTTAAAATAATATTTAAAACTTTTATTTTAGAAATAACAGAATATAATTAAAATAATGATATGATCATAATATAATTAACGCCTGAGATCATAAAAATATGCAACTTCAAACTAATCCTGATGACAGTACCTTTCTAATTTATCAATGCCATATTAATATGATCGTACCTAAATAGTAAACGTACCAATAAATACAACATACAATTGCAAAGTACATTTCAGTTACAAATTATCATGACAATAATCATATTATTATCAAGGTTTATTTAATTCTTATACTTATATAAGTAGTGTGTATAAACTAGCTTACTACAAAATATTTTTGCTAACATCATAATAAATAGTTACTATTTTTATTAATATGATATAAAAATAATGTCTAAATTCATACAAATACTACATTTCGCTATATTAGTAATACTGGTGCGTGACGTGCACTCCCAATGCGGTTACAGCCGGTGCCGTACTTACGACCAAAATAAGCTGAACATACATCTCATACCCCATAGCCATGACGACGTGGGCTGGCATTTCTCGCCGGACGGCTACTACGACCAGTCTGTCCACAAAATCATCACTAATGTCGTGAGGGAACTACAGGTGAGCGCCGACCGGCGGTTCACTCAAGTGGAGGTGTATTTCTTTCACCGGTGGTGGACTATGCAGACTAATGAGACCCGGGATGTGGTCAGGAAACTAGTCAATGATGGACAGTTGGCTTTTATTAATGGTGGTTGGACGGTCAATGATGAGGGTACCGCTCATTATAATGATATTATCGATCAAATGACCTTGGGTATTTATCTTGATTTGTATTTACTTATTTATTTAATAATACTACTGATACATTATACAGTAAAGTTAATTTATTATTTAATTTTAGGAATATTATTATTATTAATTAATGAGAAATGAATTATTAAGCATAATAAATAAGTAATAAATCATGATAATACATAATAGGTAACGTATTCCGAGTTTTATACTAGTAAAAATTAATATTATTCTAAAATTATAAATAATATCGTACACTTGAAAAATTATCCGACTATCAATATATTTTATTTAAAACTTATTAAATAATATTAATTTTCCATAAATTAAATTACAGTTTTTGTATTAAATATTTAAATATAAATATTATAGAATAATAAATAAACTACCTTATTAATATTAAATTCCAATAAATTATATTTTAGAATTACATTGATTTATATTATAGTTATTTAAAGGTTTAATAGCAAATAAATGACAAAATAAATAATTAATTGTATTCTCTAATAATGGCTTATTTTTAAAAATTACTAAATATTATTTTTACACATTTAATTAATTATTTTTTTTGAAAATTATACCTAAAAGGCTTAAAATTTTTAAAATCCGAATTTGGCAAATGTGGTATGCCCAAGGTATCATGGCAAATCGATCCATTTGGTGTGTCCCGTGAGATGGCCTCACTGTACGCGCAAATGGGGTTCGACGGTCACGTACTCAACCGCGGGATACACCCACAGGGCGACTACATATGGCGGGCGTCCGACGATCTAAACACTAAAATATTCTCCACTGTATTGCATAAACACTATTCGGCGCCAAATGGGTTCAAATTTGAGCTAGCTGAAAACCAAATTAACGAAAGCAACGTGGTGGCCAAAGTGACCGAGTTCGTACGCGTGTCGCGCGAGTGGAACACAAATTACGGCTCCAAAAATCACGTGCTAATGACAATGGGCGATGACTTTCAGTACGTAGAAGCAGCTAGGTGGTTTACGAATATGGATATACTGATCAAGGAGATTGGCAAGAATTATTCGGATACTATTAATATATTTTATTCGTCGCCCGATTGTTATGTGCTGGCTATGAATGAGGCTAATCGAACGTATGGGGAAAGGGGTGCTGTGGACTATTTTAATTATTGGGTCGGCTACTATAGTAATAGGCCGGCTCTCAAATATAATGATCGCATTAATAACAATTTGCTCCAGGTAAATGTTTTTAATTAATCAAGGGGATGTAATAGAAATCTAAATAATTTTCAAATTTTCAAATTTTAAAGAATTAATTTGATTAAATGATTTTAAAAATTAATACTCTATTGGGAGATCTACGATCCTATGAAATTTTATAAACTGTATATTTGTGTTATTTTAAAAATCAATTATGCTAGTTTATATTACAAGAATAATATTGGTCTAACAAGATAACTCCCTAACAAGCGCTAATAACTGGTTAAAATAATGTTGAACACACTTTTTTGGACCTAGTACATTTGTAGCGTCGTACGAGTGTTAACAAATGTTGCTAGCTAAAATATTTTGCAAATCATACACAAAATTTAGTTTATATACAAAAGTTTTTACAATAAATTAATCTAATTATAGGCGAGTAAACAGCTGGAGGTGTTGGCCCAGTTGGACCCCATCAAGACCCGAGTGGTGTTGGACGAGGCCCGTAATGAACAGGCAGTGATGACACATCACGACGCCATCACCGGTACGTCGCCCCAGAATACGTCCGACGAGTACTCGAGTCGACTGTTCAACGGCTTTACCGCCAGCGCTCGGGTTGTACGGAAAGCCTACAGTTATCTGAAGTCTAAAGACTCACAAAAATCGGTCGATTTGTCGGACGTTTTCTGCGATTCACTGAATATAACGGATTGCAGTCTAACGGAGACTAACGACAGGATTGCCGTCACTGTCTATAACCCGATCGCCCGACCCGTCGAACATTATGTTAGGGTACCGGTGGTGGAGGGCGTGTATAATGTTTTTGATGTCAACGGACAAGCGGTTAAAGTTAAGGCATTGCTTCCGGTGTCCGATGCTGTGAAACAACTGCCCGAAAGGAAAGGTAGTCCCGGAACGCATGAGTTGGTGTTTAATGCAGAGCTACCGGCGCTCGGGTACACCACATATTTTGTGGAAAAGGAGAATAAAAGTGTTAAGGGTAAGTTGTGTCTACCTTACTTAATTTTGTTAATTAAAATCCTTTTATAGCTTATTTTATTTGAGACAATAATTTACAAAATATGATCTTGTTAATTATTGATCAGTAAAAACATAAATAGGCTGTCGCTTATAAGTTTCAATTATAAAATATAAGAAAATTTATAGATAAAATAAAATAGCGTATTGTTGAAGTTTACAGTTTGATTTTTAATAAATAATTTTTAAAAATTTTATATTCCCTATGCTGTGATAATAATTTGCAATTAATTTATCAATATTAAAATTAATAAACATTTTTAAAATATTAATCATTAGTGACAGTATTACTAGTTTACCTGGTACCCAAAAAAACAGAATTTATTTATCACATTTATTATATTTTAATTTCTAAATTATACAAAATTATTTTAATATAAACACCTTGAAACAATTATTAAAATTTAAATTTTAGCTCAAATATCGGTAGCAAAAGTCACAAAATTAAACAAAGCAAAGGGAACACCCATTGAGATGAAAGGCAAATCATTTACACTGCAAGTGGACGAGACTACCGGTGCCATACAATCCATAACCGTAAACGGAAAGACACATTCACTGAAACAGTCGTTCCTATGGTATCAGTCTATCGGCCGTAACGGCACACCCGGTATCGAGGACTCCGGTAGCTATAACTTCTGCCCCAACGGTACGGCCCATAGTTTCGGCGCCCAAACCCTACTGTCCCAACACCGGGACGGAGGGGTACACCAGCTTAACCAACGGCACTCGGAGTACGTTCGCCAAACGGTACGTACGTATGAGGATCGGGACTACATCGAGTTGGACTGGACGGTGGGTCCCATTCCCGTGGACGACCACTTCGGCAAAGAGATTATCACGAGGTTTGAGACGGACTTCCGTACGGAACGGGTGTTTTATACGGACGAGAACGGGAGGCAAACCATTCGGCGCCAGTTTAACGAGTCGTCCACTCTTTGCAATAATAATACAATTTCCGGCAATTATTACCCCATTTTCAGCCGGGCGTTCATTCGCGACGATAAACAGGGTGAGTTTATAATTTTATTTGTTTGTTAAATAATAGTCTAATAATTAGTGATAAGTAAATACAAATTTTAAAATAATTTATATTCAAATTAATAATTTTTGTTGTAATTTACAAAAGGACTTATAATGTATTTACAAATTATCAATATTGATTTTACAATTATAACTAAAAACTATTATACTAGTAAAAAAATTGATATCAATTGCAATTTTGTAGTCTTGCAAAATTAACAATAAGTTATAGTTTGCATAATTTTTTTTAAATAATAAGATTCTGCAATTAGCTAGAATGTTTTTTGATATTTATTATCATTTGTACTGATTATGTTAAATCCATAATTTTAAAATTAAAATTTAGCTAACAAATATAACAACAGATAAGTTTTTAATTAGTTTGCTCATTTGATAGGAAGCCACCCAGATCATAAATGTTAAATGCAATTATAATAAAATATTTATTATTCACTAACGAATTAAAGTTAATCAATTAAATATCATACATTTATTAAAAGCAAAACTTATTTTATTAAACAGATTTACAGCTAACTGTCCTCAACGACCGAACTCAGGGAGGGTCGTCCCTCACTGATGGAGTACTGGAGCTCATGGTTCACCGGCGCCTACTATATAAGGGAATGGGAGGCACACTAATCATCAATGAGCCGGGTGTTGATGGCCGTGGACTCGAAGTGCGAGGCAAGCACTACATATTTCTGTCACCGGTAGCCAAATCGGCGCAACTCGTACGGAACCTATCGGAGCAGCTGTTTATGGCACCGGTAGTCACGTTCGATAAATATACGACTCGTGAGGAATATTCCCGGAAATACACGACTAGTGTCTCAGGTGTCGGGGAATCACTGCCAGAATCAGTGCATTTGTTAACACTGGAGAAGTGGGCGGACAGGGAGGTGTTGGTCCGCTTTGAGCACATGTATGAGTCGTCCGATAATACCTCGTTGTCTGCGGAAGTGTCGTTTGATTTGCAAAAAGTGTTGAAAACATTAAAAATTGTGAATTCAGTTGAAATGAATTTAGCGGCCAATGAGTGGTTGAATGAAACGAAACGTTTGGTTTGGAAATCAAATGCCGATACAAATGGTGAGGATATGAGTGGTGGTGTCGGTGCGGGAACTGGCGGTGACCTAACTGTGCAATTAAAGCCGCAACAGATCCGGACGTTTATACTGACCGTCGATAATGAGTACCACAAAGAGGGTATGAATTAATGTTTTTATAAATTGCTTAAAACTGTAATTAAAATTATATTATTGTAATACTATATACAGTATAAAAGTATATTTTTTATTTGGTAAGTCATTCATTACTCGTACGTTATATTTTATGCATTAAATAACATATGAATACCGTTTATACGGATGATAACAGACAAATATTAATTTGTTATTCATATCTTTCAAGCTTTTTTTGCTTACGACTCAATATTAAAATCTTTTAAGTTATTAATAGTTAGACTTTATTGTACTCCATTATAACTTACTAGTAATTACTGAGTTTTTGCATGAATAACTTATAATACAATATAGTCTAACTATTAATAACTTAAAAGATTTTAATATTGAGTCGTAAGCAAAAAAAGCTTGAAAGATATGAAAAATAAATTAATATTTGTCTGTTATCATCCGTATAAACGCTATTCATATTAAACTTACCTGTTAATATATTATAAACTTATAAGTTAATAGTTTATCAAACCAAGTGACCAGGTCATATTTATGTGGTTATAAATAAGTATAAATATAGTTTTAAATCTGATAATCGTTCGTATGAGTATTACGTGTATAAACTGTAACCTAGGCACTATTTCCTTTTTATTATTATTACCGAAGCATTTATCAAAAACAATGGATTGATCACAGAGAGACCATGTTACTTTATTTATTAATTTCAAAACATTAATTTTTAACCATAATAAAAAAGTAATTTGTACATTTTTAGATAAATGTACGTATAATTGGTTGAAAACTTACCCCCGGGAAATACCTACCGGTGC